TTGACCGGTGTTCTCGGTTGGCATCGATGTCGTCTCCATTACCTTTCCGACAGCGGACTCTCCTAGACTTGCGTCAGTATCAACGAGCAATAACACTAGCAGCGGGGAATAGGCATACCCAATAAAACCAGCTTGAATTGTGCGAAACGAGTGTTCATGCCGCGGCCCGCAGCTGGCCCTGCCCGAGAAGCCATTATAGGATGATGTGTGGTGTGGATTAGCCAAGAAGGGCGCAGAGGCTGGCTGCGCGGTTATGACGGATCGAGAGACAAAGGAGGCCGATGGGGGGAACGGCGTATCTTATCGGAGCGGAAAGGAGCTTGGTGAATGTCGGACGTCGATAGGGTGCCGAGTGTAGAGAGAGGAGGCAGCGAGAATATGAGGCGACGAGACAAGAAGCTCAGACGGCGATGGCGTGTCGTTGCAGCGGTAGTGAAATGGTGGTGCTGGAAACTTGTTGGGGGTTGTTTGGTGCCGGTCACTGCCTGGACATTTGATGAATGAAGTGACTTGGAAGCTTGGTTCCAGCGTGAGCTGAGTGGTGAGTGTGAGTGGCTGAAGGGCCAAGATTGACCGGGGCCTTGTATGCTGGGGGCCTAGTCTAGGCAAGCCAGTGCACCAACTACAGTACTGGCTCGCCTCGGTGTTCCTTTTTCAGTGGCCACGGCCCATTGTAGGGTCCATTGTAAGGTTCTGGATGACCCGTTGAATCTAGTCAGGTGGCAGCTAAAGCCCGCTATACGGCACACAGTATCTAAAGATAGATCTCGCTTCTTAGAGCACTGTATTGACGGTTTGCTTACGTACGCCAATCTACACCTCGATTGGGCTGGATCTTGGTGGGGCTACCATGTGAATATGCATCCATGTCTGCTCAAATCTCACGCTATGTGGCTTATAGAAATATGTAAGGCTACACGTTTCCAAATAACACATTTAGGCATTTTGAGGTTCAGGAGAACTCGATCCCCCGAGTCCAAAGTGCGACGTCAGGCGTCAGGTTAAGCACCACGAAGCCTCGACCGGTACCACCTCCTGAGGCTATTAGCCCAGAGCCCACCCAACCTTAGCCGTTTCTAATTCTTTAGGCCTGTCTCTCCTCGAAACTATGAATGTGCGCCGGATCGTGCTATCATCTTGCCCATCATGACGCTTCCGTACCGGGACATTAATGTCCACATTGCTGCCGAATCCTACACATTCACATCACCTTCTTCTCCCACCGCTCCAGCTCTGGTTATCGACAGGCCAACTGGCGATGTCCGTCTTAGCGAAACTGCCTCTGTCAACAGCAAACGTGTTGCTCGCGTATCTAGTATAGCCGGTATCCTAGGTCTCATTCGACTAAGGCTAGGTAGGGACTTCTTTCCTATAACGACTCGGAATTGATGACTGATAAGCTGGAATAGACAAGTATGTCATCGTTATTACGAAAGCCCAACCCGTGGGTCGCCTTAAGGGGCACATGGTGTACAAGGTTATCTCGACAGACTTCCTCCCGATGCGAGAACGCCAGATCCGCGATCCTGACGAAGACCAATTCCTATTTCTCCTCAAGACCTTCATTATGAGTGGTCCCATGTACTTCTCCTATTCGATCGATCTCACCAACAGCTTCCAGAGGCAAGCTTCTATCGACAACTCTGCCCCTCTCTGGATGCGCGCCGATGATCGCTTTTTCTGGAACCGATTCGTTCAGTCCGATTTAATCAATTTCCGAAAGATGGGAAATCGATCCCAGCAAGGTCCGCAACCAGCTGCCGACCCCTTCATTCTGCCATTGATATGGGGTACAATGGAAATACGGCCAACCAAGTTCAAGGGCACGGCCCTGACCATCGTCCTTATCACAAGAAAGTCGCGATACCGAGCTGGAACCCGATATTTCACCAGAGGTATTGACGAGGAAGGACACGCCGCCAATTATAATGAAACCGAGCAAGTCGTAGTATTGAACGACACAGGCGGTGGTCTGGGCGGATACGCAGGAAGCACTGATATGCAAAGTGGCAAGTTCGGCGCTTCTGAAGGACGTGAAATGCAAATCATGTCCTACGTCCAAACCCGAGGAAGTGTCCCTGTCTACTGGTCCGAGATCAACGCCCTCAAGTACACGCCGAAACTTCAAATTCGCGGAATCGAAACTGCCTTCTCTGCCGCCAAGAAGCATTTTGATGAGCAGATTCGCATTTACGGTGACAATTACCTCGTCAATCTAGTTAATCAAAAAGGCCGCGAGAAGCGCGTGAAGGAGGCCTACGAAAAAATGGTGGATATGCTTTTGACCTCGAAAACTGAATCAGTCAGTAAAGACCATATGACCGACGAGAAATTCCGCGTCGTCGAATCCACTACCGCCAAACAGGAGTTTGATCGCTTGCATTATGTCTATTTTGACTTTCATCACGAGACCAAGGGGCTTCAGATGCATCGTGCTATGATGTTGGTTGATAAGCTGCATGACGCATTAATAGAACAACAGTACTTCCGAGGCGTCGATATGCCCGCAAACGGCGGACTCGAGACGAGGAACTTCCAAACCAGTGTCGTACGGACGAACTGTATGGACTCGCTCGATCGTACAAATGTGGTCCAGAGTATGCTGGCCAGATGGACTTTGGATCGTATCTTTGTAGATCTAGGTCTGCAACAACGAGGGGAAACTTTCGCTACCACCGACCCAGCTTTCGAGTTCCTCTTCCGCAATTTGTGGGCAGATAATGCCGATACGGTGTCAAAAGCATATGCTGGCACTGGAGCTATGAAAACGGACCTCACACGCTTAGGCAAGCGTACCAAACAAGGGACACTCCAGGACGGCAACATTGCTGTGACTCGATACTATCTAAACAACTTCCGAGACGGTCCCCGTCAAGATGCTTATGACTTGTTCCTAGGCGCTTACGAGCCCAACACCGCTAATATCGGCTCGTCGCTCGTATTTGCCGACCGTAGGCCGATTCTCATCCAGAGTATCCCCTATATCCTCGCTTTCAGCATATTTTTCGTCTTCCTAGGCTTGTTCAGCAAGCGCCTGCCGGACTCCACCGTTCTCCCAATGCGTCTGTTCATCCTTTTCTGGCTGGTAGTAGGTGGTTGGTCTTTAAACTTTATCATCCAGAACGGCATGCTCTTTGTAAGTAACAAACCAATCACCGACGATCGTCAAAGGGTTTACCTAATTTAGACGGATGTACTAATTCCTGTTCTAGGTGAACTGGCCAAAGTTGAACCCACGGCCGTGGGCTATCGAGGGTTACCAGGAGACGATCGGAAAGATCAGAAAAGGCAAGGTGATTGGTTCTTTTGTCGCAAGACACGAGCGTGGACTAAGCACTGCGAGATATCTTAATGCGGAGGAAGGGAAGAAGAGGATTGAGTAAACCTGTGGGTTTGCTTGTTCAGCATTCCCAAAGCATGCATGGGCGGATTTTTGTCTTGGGCTTTTCTCTTTTATACGCGTTTTGCCTCGGAAGCGAATCCTATGCTCATTTCGTAGCCACGGCTCTGTAGAGATAGATTCATTAGATGTTATAATCACCTAGGTCTTTAATTGATATACTTGGAACACTTTTGCAATATCATTTAGCTCCGGTATAAATGATGAACAATAGCAATCGTCATAGCCTAGGGTGACATGTAATCCCGCCTACTTGCCCAAGCCCATCAACAACTCAGACCAATAGATACAAAATAAAACCACCATACAAACAGAGAAAGGTCACAGCCTACCTCAAATGTTCAGGACTAAAATAAATAAGGCACGAAGAAATGGAAAAACAAACGCTCTCGATCGGGGAATCGAACCCCGGCCACCTGCGAATTGTACCATGACAAGCAGGTATCCTGACCACTAGACCAATCGAGATATTGGATTGTTGATGTTTGCAGTTGTTGACCCAAACCATATTGTCTGCCGTACCTGGATCAACTTGAAAAAAAAAGTTGAAATCAGCCCTGTGTCTTCTAGAAGAGCGGTATTCACTTTCTTATGCACAGGTGCAAGCTTCTTTATACGTCGAGATAAATTAAGAAGATATCAGCCGAAAGAATGCGAATACTAGGTAGTCACAGTAAAGGCTTCAACGTATCAGTGTTAGAAGATACTCGTCCAATCTGCGCGGCGATGCAATACAGGTTCCTCAACTAGTCATGGCGTTAAGTTTACGCCCTCGCTCGCCAAGGACTACCACTCAGTCACTTAGACATTAAAGCGATGAGCCTTGATAGAACTCATCCAAGTAGGAGGAGGTTGAATGAGCACCTTGCAAGATATCGAGCCCCCTCCCCAAGGTTACAACGTCGTTGCTAGTAGAATCGATCCAAACCGAGAAGATGTTGTTAGGAAGCGTCAGTTATTATGCCTAAATTGTTAGAGCTGAGTGTGACGATCCAGTTACATGTCTGCTGCAGATCTAAGGTGCTCTTATTACTTACATTCGGTGGACTACCTGGCTCCTATACCTGACGCTTGAAGCTGATTGTTGATTATAAGGCCAAGGAGGACGTTGACAGAAACGAAGGAGTGAGGTGGGCCTCATTGCCCTCCGTAGTTTAATACAGCAACCAAGACAAAGCTATCATACAGGTGTAGTTGAAGATGTTATCGTTTAATTTGTCGGTATATGCACGACTTGGACATGCTGCACCGCCTGCGGATTCAAGCTCACTGTCCTATAGACGAGTCACATCTTCCAGCCCTATCAGATAGACAACGGCCTTCATCATAGGTTTGCTTTAGCTCACAGCCACGATGCAGTGCCTACTCATCGCCCTCCTTTTCCATGACGATATGCCCTTGCATATTGGTCACTCACTTAACCGTCCACTAGGACAAGAAGCAAAGCTCAATCTGATCCCAAAGTCTTTTCGATCCCGATACTTCTATCTTGAATGTTCTGCACACTGTTCTATCAAAAAGATGATGTCCTACACTAGCATTGATTCGATTTGAGGTACACAGGTTGCAATACCAGCCGAAAACAGCACGACATCATCACGGCTAGGTGGCGGAGTGGTTAACGCGGTAGACTCGAAAATTCCTGCAATTTAATCAGGAGTTTCTAGTTATCTACTTCCTTCGGGAGCGTCTGTTCGAATCAGGCCCTAGTCGAAAATTATCTTTTTCTCCTTTCAGTTCTTCTTTTTAATTTGCCGAAATCAAGAAATTCCGTCTCAGTAACTAGTCTTGTTCGTGGACCGGCCCCTCCTTTTTACGGTCGAAGTGGGGGCGGGGAATACATCAGCTCGTGCAGCAATACAAAGCTGCTAAATATTGTCGTCTAGCTATACAATACGATGTGAATCATGACGTTAGCTTTAATAATTATATTAATTAGCCGCTTGTCTATTACCGGGGCATCCGATTTTACGTTTTGCTTCTCTCCAGAGTTTTACACGCCTGTCCCCTTTCTCGGGGCTAAAAATGTAGAAGGCTTGGCAATCTAAGCCCCTCAGAGATGTGGAATAACCGAGGTAGCACCTGAGGCAGTGAGCAACTCTGACTCTCATCGTGACGTTTTCCTTCAACACTTGGGGCTATGACAAGAGGGCTATGCTGCTTTACATCGAGGCCTCCTTTGCATCCTCCGCCTTAGGGCTAAAAATGCAGTGAAATTCATGGTCTTTATAAGGACTCCTCACCATAACACTCCGTCGGTTTTGCCATTCTTGATCTATATCATACCAGAGACCCAAAGGCTTAGAGCTTTTTAGACAAAATAGATAGACTATTATGAACACCACTGGTTTGAGGCTACTGCCGCGACTTGTCGTCGAATTATAAATACACGTAATTCATTCTTAGTATTAGGACTTTTCTAAATACACGCACTACGGCTTAGTTCAGGTTATTGTGGTAATTCTTGTGGAAGTAGAGTAGACTACATAGCAGTCACCATATAGGCACTATTCATCATATCTACCGCATCGGCCAAACTTCCCTCATCACGAGCGTCGCCGAGGACGAACCAGACCTCCTAGATATTACAAGCATTCCAGGTTCAACTCCATCAAGTCTGATACCTGTCCATTCCATTAATATGCTCAACGGCCCAGAGATGGAATGCCGGCGACTTGCACGTAGTATAAATTGCCCGTTCAACTGTTCAGCCGCAGTTTTCCTTTAGTAATCTTAATCTTCTCTTGTTGAGGAACGATGAATCAAAGAAGCAAAGGGATAGGACTATATCGTTCTTTTCCTCGACTGGCGTTGCGGGAGTAAGACGACAAGTTGTGTGCTCAAGCCGTACGTGCGTGCGTGCGAAGAGTTCAATAATAACGGTTCCAAAAAAGCACAAAAGCTGCTGGCTCTCGCTACTATTAGGGAACGAAGTGTATTTCTATTGATGTTATAGAGGGAAGAAGTAATTATTATCGGCCGAGCATCTTGCTGGCGTTCCAAGACGCTATATTTTCCACGATGCAACGGCGAAAACTCAGTTCTCCACAAATCAGCACGGGCGAATGGTCTAGGGGTATGATACTCCCTTCGCATCTCCGAGAGACTCGGAATAGCGCGTTTGGGAGGGGTCCGGGGTTCAATTCCCCGTTCGTCCATTTGTTTTGCTATTTTTCATTGACGTGTAGTCGGATTTTGCTTCTTTTATCATCAATGATTGTAATGGCCAAGTAGTATGGAATCAAAGAGTTGAGGGACAGTTCTATAAGGGGCTCGTACGCTGCACTCAATTAAGCTATCTGTAATATTTTTCAACGAGAAACTCAGGTAAAGAATGAAATACTCAATCTAGCTAGTTTTTCGACTTTGCACCAACTAGGAGATTATGCTCACACATCTATTGCTGGCAAATGTCGGGGGCGCAGGGCCAACTTGTCCGGAGGCAGTTGGCGGCTTGATAAGTTGATCTCTTATAATTTGCCAGGGTCGTTCTCTAATGCCATAATTTTTAGTTTTTCTATATTACATCCTAGATCAAAGTTAATAATGGTTGTAAGTACGGCCCAACCCGTGTGTATGTATATACGTACTGTAGAATAAGATAGTGATATGTAAACCTCTTATATCAAGGTTTCAGGTCGTCTTCCATTACTAAGCGCTTATGCCATAAGAATATCCAATCGGACCTCATGGAACAATCCTCCTCTAAAAACCCTGTGCTGCCGGCGGGAGGGGCTAAAAATGCAGTGAAGCTCAGAAAATGTATATATTTCATTACCCACCCCTGTCAGAATAAAAGCCAAAGATCATGGCAAGCCCGTTGCTGTCGTCCTTATGCTAGTAAGGGACAAAGGGAACAAACATCGCATGAACCACATAAAAAACTGCAGTCTGTATTCAAATCCTCGAATTAGACATATTCTTACTTTGCACACTACATGTGATTTTATAATATCCTAAGTTTAAATGGAAGTCTTCATTAGTAGTTTGGGGTGTATTGCTTTGCTTTTAGAAACTACTTTGAGATATCTGGCCAAGACCGTTCGCAATATCAGGTCACTCATTTTCACCCTGGCATTGAGTTCATTTTTTATTTCTCGAGGCGAGGCTATAGGAAAATGTAATAAAGCCGCTAAAGAAGCACGAGATGCCGGAACCATCACTCGGGATGATTCACAGCAGCAGTATCATGGATGATAGCGGCAATGGTACGACGATGATTTTTGGTATCTTCACATTTCGTAATCCAATCAGTCTCAGTTGGTTAGCGCGGCAATAGGTTTAGACGAGCAAGTTCAAATTTGTGCCAAAAACCAGCACCTAAGTTCTCGCAGTGGTCTATATCGTTGTCCTCTTATAAGGCAATAACAACAAGCTTCAACATTATCCCGAAGCATGATCATTCCTTCTAGCTAGCATCGAATCTCCTATTGTCAAAGATACCTCGAGCCGGCCCAGAATATGAAGCCAATTAAGGTCTTTGCGACACTTGATAGCGAACAGGCATTAACGACCAAGCGAATCTGAACTCGAGATAGTGGTTAGCAGAAGCATAATCAATTCTAGAATGAATTATAATACACTGGTCAATAATCAACCCGAAATCAACTTTAGAACAATGCAGGGAAGTCTTATTACGTCACGTCACCTGTGTAATCTGATAAAGAGCGAGGGGACACCGAACCTATTCCAAAGACTTCAACTTGGAGAAAAGCCTACGGTAACATTCTACGCTGCTACGTGTTAGCTTGAATTACTAGCATTTGTCGGTGTAACGTAGCTGTCACAAAGTTTCAAATACTGTATCCTCTGTTCGTATAGAGCTGCCTTCAACTCTAGCAAGGCGTTTTTCAAGTGATTTTCTCGACATCAATAGCTATTGGAACTCTAGCCATCTCTAGGTTCAGTTCTTCGCCAGGGCTTACTTATGCAAGCTTCTGACACGAGGTATGGTGCACTTGGCGAATGGATCCGAATATCGGATGTGAGAACATAATGTGATTTGAGAAACTACCGAGTCCGTAAACCCCAACGGCATTCTTTAGGGGGATACCATGTAGTGACACGCAAGTAGTGTCCGATTTCAGCATTCAATGAGTTGGTGTCTCAATATGCGTGAATTCTCTTCATATCATGAAAGATGGTCATGAACGGAGCTTTAATTGTCATTAAATTGTTTTGGGTGTTGGCTATTATCGAACCCCCAAATCTCCAAGTTACACTCAACCACCTACATCTGTACGTTATTGGACAGCATTACCAAGTGGCAAACGGACCGTAAGTTTTTCTCTCTTATCAATTTTGCAAGCATCTTGGCTACCAGAAATAGGGGCTTACTGATCTGTCAAATCGGAAAGCGGTTGCCCATCGTCCAAGAATTGCCTCAGCTCAATAGAGCATACAGACAAACACAGCACAGGCCTCCATCTCCCGAAAATTGACCCAGTAAATTAGCTCATGTCATCCCTTTTTTTTAAAACCCCACATAGTCGTCAAATAAACTATTGATCTGACCATTCACTCGTCACAACCACATCCCTGATCTGAGACATTTGCTATTACCCCACGGTTTCTATTTCAGCACTTCCCCTTGATTGGAAATAGTAGGACGCGCTAGTTAATATTGATTTTTCAATGAGACGCGCATTCAATTGACACGCGGAGCAAACTCTATAAAATTAATCTCCCGGGACTATTCCCTTGCTATTCGGTCTATATAAACTATCCCCGCGCCTTTACACCCGTCTCTCACACCAAGTCGACAATATAGACCTTCGAGCTCTACTCTTTAATGATATCGAAGACGGTGCGGCTGCTCGGCGGGTTGTTCCGCCAACACGGGTAAGCTCTCTTGTATCAGTTCTTCGCCTTTACACCTTCCATTCTGATCAGCAGCCCTCGCCGCCTTTACACTCTCAATCGAAACTCCTAGCGACACTCATTCAGACCACCAGAATCAAAATCAGTTGCTGACTCTAACCAGATCTACAAGCAGGTCTTTACTCAAGAGTTACCATATTGGCTCAGGAAATCTTCATCCAGCTCAACCAACCAAAGTTCGAATCCTAGCAAACTTAGCACCCTTCAACAGAAACCAACCGTTATCTCCAGGGCTGAGCAGAGTCTCCCACTCAACGTGAAAAAAGATGTGCCGCCAGATTTATGTTTGCTTTCGCGGCTGCCCCTGCGAGCTGCAATATCGACTGGACGAGTGCGTTTACGGAAGATCGGATCCCCGGTGCACAGATACTAAAGTATCTCTGTTCTAGAGCGACAGAGACTACTGCCACTGGCACCAATGGTGGAACTCGAGGGGAGATGAGGCGCACGCCAACGCGCGGCGGGCTAAGAGCCACCGCCGAGAACAGCGACGCAGAGGCTACATCTCGCCCTACCACGAGAGTCCCGTCGACCTCGAAAAATACGACGGCGATATGGACAAGCTGAACGCCGACGCCGCGTGCTCGGTCAACGGTTATGATCAATGCTGGGCCAGCGAGCCGCCGCGGAAGAAGACTAAGCTCGCCTCTCGCCAACTTACTTCGGCATGCGCGGCAAATTTCGAACTCTTCGGAAATCTTCGATCGCTACCTTTCAGAAATCGATAATTCTTCACACGAGCTTTGATGTATAAATCCTGCTTTATCCTCGTAACATAACATGCTGCATGAATACTGTCTATTGCGGGTACCTGCGCACTAGAGTCCTGCGAT